CCCCCCCGCAGTTCTTCAAGCTACCGATGTCTGACTCTCTAAAGTGCGACAAAAATGTATACAGATTCGGCATTCAAGTAAATTGCTTAAGAGGTTTCGCAAAAAGCAAATGCCCACTAGCGGAATCGAACCGCTGATCTTGTCATGGCTTCTCTCTAGCCCTACCCACATAGGTATGTAGGTTCGGACCGTTCGGAGATACAAGTGACACGCTTTACCACTTAGCCAAGCGGGCCTCCTGGAATGATGTTGTTTAACGTGACGGGAGATGCGACGATGAGGGTATGTATACCTTCCTAGCTGTCGTCAACTGTATGAAATGGTAGGGAGGAATGCCGGGGAGCTGCGCGGCCGTTTGGATCGAGATCCAAGTCTGTTATGTGTAAGACAGAATTCAAGCTTAATTACCTAGTCTTAGACAATACGGTAGCTCTGCAAGTAGAAGTAGTTCAAGGTTGTCGCCGATGTGGCTTGACGATTGGCTTGGCGAAGCTTAAAGATGGCCTGTGCGTAATCTACAGTAGGGCGCACCGGCGATCATTACCTATTCGAAACCATGACTGTTACGAACGTAAATGGTTGGTAAATAGCTATTCCCGCAGCACGGCGCGTTGGTAATGAACAAACACATCTTGCGCAATCATTTGGGTCGGATTTATTCTATTTGTTACAGCTAATCATGGCCTATGAAAAATGGCTATACACATAGTTTTTGCAACAAAGGAGCGTACTCCATTTGAAAGCTGACGTAGATACCAGGGATGATGTGTATGGCAGGTACGAAGTATATCTATCAATTTGTAAATGAGGGAATTCTGTAGAAAGATATGACATCTGGTTCGGATGCGGCCAACGTTTCTCGTCGCATGAACGCCAGACCTGTGCATCACACACACTTTGCGGCTTTAGTAACATAGAGCATTGACAGGGGCCGATGAATTGTGTACCACCTGCGTGGCAGATCCAAGGCGATCTTCAAGCCAGGTGTCGCTTATCTTGGAGCCATATGAATGGCCCAATAGCCGAGCATTTCTAGTTTTTTTGGGCATATGATAGCGTGCAAACGCTTGATAAAAACAGTTGAGATAGTCCAGGATATCGACTAGGAAGACCCAACCCACTGACCTAGCTGCTTGGTCAGAGATGAGCAAGCGCGAAAATAGTTTGGCGAGATTGCGGGGAATTGCTTGTACTTGAATATGATCTTGACCTCGAACTTGATATTCTCTCGAGAAGACACAACCAAGGTGCAGCACCCACTTACTATATCTGTGTTCTTAATTTCGCGTAGAGAGCCGCGCGCATCTATGCCGCGCGGGCGGCGACCAGAGTGCCAAGAACAAATTTCCGCCGTGCAGGAGAACGTAGCCATTCATGACCGATAACTGATGCATTTCACGATAAATGGTCATCGAAATAGCCGCTGCCGCTCGATGGGGCTTTCTAGTAGCTTCATGCGACGTCGTTAACTTGCGCTGGTTACAGAAGGAGCACGACCTGAGGGACGGTTGGTTGAGCGAAGCGCTGAAGCAAGCTGGGCCCAGATGTGCTAAAAAGGGTGGAGACCAACTGAAGGCTAAATATGGGAACCATGCTACGCGTGCCATGTGCTAATTGCTAGACGTGCCATATTTTTACTTGATTCGTTTGGCTTTTACCTTGTAACTAGACTTTGGTGCGAAATTGAACAAGGATTAAATAAAAAAAGTATTACAATATTACAGGTTAATTATTTACTTACAAAACCTACTAGTAAAAATAACTTTGTACAAAACAGTAAGCAAGTTAATTAATAAACCGTATATTTAATTATTTAATTATATAATATTTTTATTTAAAATTAATTTTATAACTTATAATTATATTAAATGTTTATATATTTTATAACTTGTATAATAATATGTTTAATAATCGCTTAACTGTAAAAATAGTTATAATTAAGTAATAAATCAAGTACGAAATAATGCTGTTGTAAAACATACACTTGTAACATAGTAATACTTTTAAGTATTCGAGTTTCTTACCCAAAATGGGTTACCAAGTGAACTAAGTGGAGACATGGCACGCGTAGCAATTGGCACATGGCACGCGTAGCATGGTTCAAATATGGGGACATATGCAGGTACGTACAGTACACTACAGCTCGAGTACGAAGTATCGCGGGCTCTAACAAATGCAGTGATTAGACAGGTCACTTTTGGGCGGAAATATTAGCGAGCGTGACATGTCCCCGCACCATTGCACCCCTGTCGCAGTACTTGGGCTACCCGCGCAGAGCCCCCCTGATGGTCTTTGCAAGCCGTTGCAGCTTGGGTTCCCGATGGCCAATCAGAATTCCATTTGGGTTACGACCCTGTTCTGATCCCGACCACACGTCTCCGCACAACACACCATCTACCATACAACTTTCTCCATCGCGCAACACCAAAAACGAGACACCTACACGAACCGCTGGCGCGTAGAGCCATGTCTTTCAAACAGGCCACCTCAACACAAGGTACAGTTGGCCATGTCGCGCATATTATGCTCCAAAATATTCTGGTGAATAGGATTGCAGTAAGCTGCACGCCATGCCTGTCTGAGAAACGGCTCTGGCCACAGACCACGATGATAGATAACATCAGGTCGAGAGCATCGAAATTTCGGTCAAAATGGGCACAAGACTCGTAACACAACGCGTCATGATTCTGATATCATATACCTAATCCCGGTGTGTGAGACTGGGAGGCGGCCGGTTTCCGGCCTTTATTAGGACTATTGTGCTTCTGAATTTGTCATTTCATTGTTAGTTCAAATAATAACATTGAGAGTCTTGCCTCACATCGACCGGAATAAAACCCATGTGGACAGCATAGAACTAGCGCCGACTTTGATAAGAAGACGACTCACCGTAACCAGATCCCACCCTAGTACTACGATTGATCGCCAAGCTCTTTACAAGTAGGTAGGTAGCCCCCCGTCACCTACACTTGGGCATGATATGCTCGGCACACCATCATCACCTTCACACCACATACATGCGTACAAAGGTGCCCACGTATATACCTACATACTTACTTTGATATAGCAGGCCTTCGCCTCATACGAGATACAGCACACGTGCACTTCTCTTTTTCTTTCTCTCGGCTCCTTCTAACGGGTGTCCTGCCCAACTCTCCTTCGACTTAGCGCGAGGCAAACAGGTGGCTTGTTTGATCAACCATTGTTCTTCTATCTAAAAGGTCCATTGTTTAGCACGCTTTGACACTGCCAGTCTAAGCTAGCATAAAGAACTTGTTTCCTCTTATTTCTAGCTCTACTCCATCAGCCCCGCGTGCCTTCACCAACACCCTCCTTCAATTTTTCGAGTAAACCCCACTATAATTCATTGCACAAACGTTTCGTACACAGGCGCAGGCCCTAATTATCTTTCCTTCTCGTCTCTTTCTTACTCATTACCCTTTTTAATATCCTCTGCTCCCCAGCCTCCGGCACCGGATTTACGCAAACTTCGACAACACCACTTGCGTACACGGTATTACGGCACACCGTACTCTTCTAGCCTTTTCTTTCTCCCCGTCTCGCCGGCGAGATTCAACTTCACACAACCACGTTTTCTCATTTCCTACAAAAATGAGCCTCAAGCGCGTTACTATCGCGGCCATCTCGCTGCTGTCGGCAGCGCCGACCACCAATGCCCACACCTGGGTCGAATACCTTTATCACATCAGCTCTACTGGAGCTTTCACAGGAAAACCGGGATACCCCATCGGCTACATCCCCAGAGCTCAAGGCGTGTCTGACGACCAGCACCAGACCAAGATAATGGACACCTCGACGAATCCGGCCATCTGCAAGCCGATGTCATCAAGCAACACTGCCCTGTATCCTCCCCTTCAAGCCGCTGCTGGCGATTACATCGCACTCCAGTATCAGGAGAACGGTCACGTCACGCAACCGGACCTGACCCCACGACCCTATCGTGGCGGAAATGTGTATGTCTACGGCACACAGCACCATCAAGATTCTGATGGCATCAATGATGTGCTGAATTCTTGGACCGTTGATGGCAAGGGTGGAAACAAAAAGGGCAAGCTGATTGCCACGCACTACTTTGACGATGACCAATGCTTTCAAGATGCCCCGGGCAACAAAATCGCCCAGGAGCGCCAAGCAAAGTATGGCGTCAACCAGCTGCCTTGCCAGACCGATATCCAATTGCCGACTGACTTACCCTCTACCGGTACCTATACGCTGATGTGGGTATGGGACTGGCCGAGAATTATCACCGATACCCAGAATGTAACAGAAATCTATACCACATGCGCGCAGATCAACCTCACCGGAGCACCTAAGAGCGAATCCGTGTTGGGACAGCCTGGGATCAAGTTCAATAAGAACAACCCGATCCAGAGTGCCGCCATCGCGTCGCAGGTACACAACCTCATCGAAGCAACAGCTCTCGGAATTGGTACCGCCAGTCCCCCCGCGCCTACTGGTCTTGGTGATGCTACCAGCTCAGCGGCACCAGCACCCACTTCGTCTAAGAGCAAGCACCCCGACCATATCAAGACCGTCACCGTGACTGCAGAGCCGGCCACTGTCACTCAATATCACACAGTTACCATGGGCTCTGGAGACGATAACGGCGGACAAAATACCGCTCAGCCAAGCACTTCTACTCTTGCCACCGTCACTGCCGGTCCGACAAAACAAACAGCAACGTCTCCCGACGTCCCGTTTCCGACTTCTGTTGTTCCTGTGACGTCCGTCTCTGGCTTTCTCAAAGTCCGCGCGGCTCGCGTTACTGGCAGCGCACGACGGGATCTCTTTCGCCACTGGTGACAGTCAGCCTCAACTCGAGGGGGGCGCTCGAATCTTCTAGCAACCCATTACCATCATAGCATGTAGCATCAACACAATTTGATTTGATTTGATTTGATTTCTTTCTCTTTCATTTTCCTTCTGTTTCTGTTTAAGTACATATTTGCCTAAGCCTTACGGCTCAGGTTGACAACTTGTTGTTTTTCCTTTCCGGCAAAAGCGGACACACCCAAACTCCCCTCAGTTACGCATAAGGTGCATTTCAGGCGTTTCGGTCAAAACATGTAGATAGGGTTTCCGAGAGGGCTCTCGGAGGTAGCATTTGCATCCGGCATGGACAATATACCCCGGTAGGCGTTGGTCACAACAAGGATGGGATTGCATTTGCATTGAGAGGCTGGTTATATGAGGCAATACCCTTCGTTCGTCAAT